TTTGCCATCTTATTTTAAAAAAAAATCTTAGTAGTTGCTATGTTAGACAATGGCAGGAAATGGAATGATATAGTGCGTTGATGCTAATGTTTTCTGAGCTAAAATTTAAATGAAACTACCATGTTATTGGTTGTTTAATATTTTATTAATTAATTTAATAAATGAATAATTAGAGCGCCTTCATTATTAAAATATTAATGAGATATACGTAAGAAAGGTTTCTTGTTTTTAATTATGTTTTATTTGACAGATTGATAGAGTTAAGGAGAGGTTTCTGAAGGCGGTGCTGCGACAAGATATCACATGGTACGACCTCAACACGACAATGAACTTCGCAACAAAAGTATCAGAGTAAGTGTTATTATGCTCTTAAACATCGAATAGTGATGAAAAAACAAAATGGCGACGATTGTGATACTTCTATGATATTGTATTGCGTTAGTTTCTTAGTGATTACAATAGGCAGGTTCATAGTTTACATTGACTTGTGTCAAAGATATTCAAATATACAGAGGAGACATAGTTGACATTTCATTTAAAACATTTTTCACATGATCATTCTCTATTAATACATCCTCAAAACTTGAAGCTTACATTTTTTAAATGTTTTATTACATGATAATACAAGGACAGGTGGCACTGTTCTTGACAACTTTCATAGAAAGTATTGGAAAGTGAAAAAGTTTAGTGGAAAAAATTCACTGCCCCGTCTGTATTTTATTTAAATGTCTTTGACCTATGTACCAATTGTCTTAGAGGTTATTAAACATCCAAAAATGTAGCCTTTGTTAATCAGCGATGACGTAGCTTTCTAATGGTGAAAGATTTGGAATCGGCCAAGTAGTTTTTGAGTTATTTTAAATATACAAATCATTCCTCTTTATAATATTAGTATAGATATATCTTGTGTTAACGTTCCAGTGACGTGGAGAAGTACCGCGAGGGTATAGGAGAGAAGGTGGCGATGTTCGTTTACCTTGTGATGTCGTTCGTCACCGCGGTCATCATCTCCCTCGTGTACGGCTGGGAGCTCACACTAGTTATACTGTCCTGCGCGCCGGTTATTATTGCAACGACTGCAGTTGTCGCAAAGGTAACATTTAAACTCTAACAACCGTTATTTTTTTATGGAAGTCCCTTATTAATAATATTAGATTTACAAGTGCTATATTTTTTTATACAAACGGTTTGGGAATTTTCAATTGTTTTGATTAAAAATAATTTAGAATGGACACGATTGTCGATTGTTTCGCAGCCAAGTCAACTGTTTAGTTGCAACTAAAATCGAGTAGCTTATGTGCTCATAGGAATCAAAAAGACTAAACAGTTGTGCGATAGTTTTTTAGTTCACTCTTAAAATGAATGAAAATCAAGTCTGTTTGAAGATGTTGGGGATTCGAAAAATACATTATCTTATTGCTACTTAGTATTAGGTATTTTAGTTTATAAGATTGTTATTTGGTATGTTATTATTTTACCATGCACAGGTCCAATCTTCGTTAACAACTCAAGAACTAAAGGCGTATAGTATAGCGGGCGTGGTGGCGGAAGAAGTGCTGTCGTCAATACGGACAGTGGTAGCCTTCGGCGGTGAAGAAAAGGAAATAGAAAGGTATTTAAATTGTGTATTGATTTGTTAATTACTAGCTTTCGCCCTCGACTTCATCCGCGTGGAATTAAGAAATATAACCTATGTTACTCATCGATAACATAGCTTTGTAATGGTGAAAGAATTTTTAAAATCGGCCAAGTAGTTTTTGAGTTTTATCAAAACATACAATACAAAACTTTCCTCTAGTCAATCAATATCGATCAATAGATGGCGCTAAACGATTAGGCGCAGACTGTATAAATTTTAAATACTGTAAATATAAAATTTCTAACTATTGCAAAATAAGAGCTAGGTTAATAAGATATATTTCATAACTACAGTTAATTAGCAGCCTCTAAAATTCGAACTTATGACCTCGTAAGGTAACCAACCCCTTTAATTATTAGGATATTCAGTACCGGGTTCGGGGCTAATGGCCCTGATCAAGATGTCGACGATACCCCATTTTTAATACTTTAACCTGTGAGGCTTCTTCCGTTCCGCTCCGTTCTGTTCAGCGCCCTGGGCGGTCACACCGAGCCTTACCCTAACACCGGCCCTGAGACTTTGCGCTGAAATATCCCAAGTTTCTATTAATACAAAGTATTAATTACCAGGTATTCAGATCGTTTGGCGCCAGCTAAGAAGACAGGTACGAGGAAGGGCGTGTACTCAGGCATGGGGAGTGGCTTCATGTGGCTCATCATTTACATGACCTACTCTCTCTCCTTCTGGTACGGAGTCGGTCTCATCCTCGACAGCAGGCACGAAGACATACCTATATACACACCCGCCGTGTTGATGATTGTAAGTACTTTATTCATTACTAGCTGTTGCTCGCGATACCATCCGCGTGAAATTAAGAACCACAAGGTAAGAAGCCTTTGTGTTCTTCCAGATTATCCTCTACTTCTATGCCAAATTTCATCGAGATCTGTTCAGCAGTTTAGGCTACAAACTCTAACAAACATCGCATTTATAATGTCAGCTAATAAGATTTAAAATCATTTTAATATTCAAGGGTAATAGGACAAAGTAACTAAACTTCTTTACATGGTATATTAACATTAGAAGTAGACCAATAAATATCAAGAACAGTCAATTTATGGTATTTGAATTTTAACACAATCCTGATGAAAATCTTTCGACTCACCTAAAAATCCGAGCAAAAATTGTCTGAAAGTTAAGTTTATCGTATTCTTTGGTATTGTTGTTCTGGAAATAAATACATACACTTCCTTAAAAAATATAACTTATCTGTTAGATAAAAAGCTTCTTTACGTGGCATTGTTACTTGGGGTAAATCACCAGCACTTAGTTGGCACATCGATCAGTAGAGTACTCTTGTTGTGAACGTGCCAACATAACATAATGTTCTGTTTACTATCAGATCTTCTTCAGCGTGCTGCAAGGCGCTCAGAACGTGGGTCTAACATCTCCGCACATCGAGGCGATGGCGAGCGCGCGCGCCTCCGCCAGTGCGATATTCCGGGTCATTGACCGCAAACCAGTGATTGACAGTCTGTCAACAGAGGGCAGTAAACCAGAACTGGACGGTGATTTAGAGCTCAAAGATGTATACTTCAGATATCCCGCAAGACCTGATGTTCAAGTAAGTGCCTGCCAAAAAGAAGGTGGTACTAGGTATATGTGCGCTAAACACTTTATTTATTTTTAATTCTGAAGGAAACTTAGCTAGCTAATTTTTTTTTATAATGTACAATGGCAAATGGCCCTCTGAATCCGCGAAAAGGGCGTTGCGATTGCGACGGCTGCTCATAGACATCCGAAATTGCAGACGCGTTGCTTACCCTTAATCGATAGAGGAGTAGACGTACAAATATAGAGAGGATATTTGCCTTTCCGATACATGTCCTTCACTGTTAAATCTACCTTCCATCATCATCCACCTTTTCTTATAAGAAAATATTGGAAAGGAAAAAGGATTTTAATTAGGACTCCGACACACTCATCAGACGAAACTCGAAATTACTTCGACTCGACGCCTGTCTTCCGTGTGGTTGTAGAATTACACTGGGCGAGCCGTACAGAGCAAAGATGTTTAAGTGGACTCTACCACTATTAAACATATTACGTCTCTCTTTAGATATAAGTTAGAAACATAAAAAATGTCTTAACAGCGTTTTGGAACCTCACAATTTCGACAGCTTCTTTCGTCTAAAAAGTGTAACTATTATAGGTGCTGAACGGTCTATCTTTAAAGATTAACCGCAACGAGACGGTGGCGCTCGTGGGCGCGAGCGGCTGCGGCAAGTCCACGGTACTGCAGCTGCTGCAGCGCATGTACGACCCGGAGGAGGGCAGCGTGCGCGCCTCCGGACACGACTTGAGGGAACTGAACGTACGACATCTCAGGAACCATATAGCGGTGGTCGGACAAGAGCCGGTGTTGTTTGCTGGCTCTATTAAGGAGAATATTAGGTTAGTCAATTTATATGTGGTTAGATATACAATTAAATATTGCTGTTTGGTAAAGATTAATGAACGTCATCAGCTTACTACCCACTCAGAGCTCGGAGCCTACACTTAAGAGTGACTAGGCCATAGTCAACCATGATGGCCATTCCAGATTGACTTCACACATATCTTTTAATTTCTTCAGATATGTGAAGGCACCACCATGTTTTTCTTCGCAGTAAGAACGTCAGATTAATTATGTACATATGAAATTTGAATTGAAAATTACGTTGATACATGGCGAGATTCGAAGTCAAGACCTGTAGACAATTCATCATGCATCGCCGCCATTTATTTCGTTGTTAAGATTTATTGTTTGACTTTTTTCTAGATTAAGTAATCCGTCGTGTACTGATGAAGAAATTATTGTAGCAGCGAAACAAGCTTACTGTCATCATTTCATAAAGAATTTACCTGAGGTAAATATATTGCTGTATTAAATGAAACAACACGAACATCCATAAAAACTTTCGCTTTTGTTTTACTAAGATTAAAGACTACGAGTGCAGCATTTCATTATTTACTACCAGGGCTACGACACGATGATAGGAGAGAGAGGGGCTCAGTTGTCTGGAGGTCAGAAGCAACGCATAGCAATCGCTCGTGCGCTCGTCCGTCGGCCGAAGATCTTGCTGCTGGATGAGGCGACTTCTGCACTGGACTCCCACAGCGAGGCCAAAGTGCAGCGCGCGCTGGACGCGGCTGCGCACGGCCGCACTACTGTCATGGTCAGCCACAGGTACACGAGTATAGAGAAATTGCATTAACTGTAACACAAACTGCTTGGAGCAAATGTAATCTAAACTTTGTTTACAAAGTTTAAATAATAAAAAAAAATTATATCTGCCCTCAATAGATTAAATAATAAAACTTGTAACCCATTTAATATAAAGCCATCATATTATCTATGTATCACCGGAAAGAATTAGTTACGAAGGAAAGAGATGGAAAATTAAACTGTAATTCTTACTCCATAGGTTGGCGACAGTACTGAACGCGACACGCATTGTATTCATAGAGAAGGGCGAGGTGGTGGAGCAAGGCACGCACGAGGAGCTGCTGGCGCAGCGCGGCCGCTACTACCAGCTGGTGCTGGAGAACGAGCCCAGCATTGCGCCAGGCGCGGAACAGAATAAGCACAAACGTGAGTCAACGTTCTTTAAAATTTGTGTAATGGTGTAGTTATGTGTACGACGCCATCCAATAAGCGGATTGCAATTATGAAAGATACAAATTAAGTAGGGTTAATAGCCGACTTAAAGTTTCTTAAACATCTCACTTCTTGAATGAATAATAATAATAATAAAGTCATTTAATCCATTCAGAAGGAAAACATCATACATTTAATTACATAGTTGATAAAGATAATGACAGAGGGGAAAAATGTTAGTTACAAACAACAAAAAAAAAATACATACACGGGAATCGGGAAAAGAATACGCAGAGAAAGTCCCAGGACTCTTAAAAACAATCAGGAGTTTAAGTTGGGTTTAAGTTATCGATAAATTAAATTATGTACATTACTTTAGCAGTGAAATAGTGTATAGAAGTGAACGAACTATATTATATCAAAGCATATTTAATTAATTGCCAATAAACATTCTTCTTCTAGAAGCAAAAATCAGGCGACCGATGTTACAAAAATTAGCATCGGTCGACTCAATACAAAGTACCACCGCGTCAGAAGAAGATTCCTGTTCAGAAGACAGCGTGGTGCTTGATGAGAAAGAGGATGAAGAGTTCAAGCCGACGACCTGGCAGATACTGAAGCTCTGTGAGCCGGAGAAGTGGCTGATGGTAGCTGGAGTTCTAGCAGCGGTTACAGTTGGCTCGTCTTTTCCTTGCTTCGCGATATTGTTTGGTGAAACTTATGGTGTAAGTAATTTAGAATATAATGATTGTCTATGGGCGTCAGTCTTCTTCCTTTTTTTATTATTAGAATAAATATTTTCTTATCTGCTAGCTTTTGTTATAGGTTAAATTAAATGACTTGTATTTGTCGTCAGTTGCTAGAGAACCCAGACGAGGAGTACGTCCGCGGCGGCACCAACATCATCGCGGTGCTGTTCCTGGTGGTGGGCGTGTTCACAGGCATCGGCATATTCTTCCAGATTTTCATCTTCAACTTGACAGGTGTCAGGCTGACGGCGA